GAAAAGAATCTCTTTTTTGCCGCCCTCACCGCCACAGCATAGGCCCGATAGTGGGCTCTTAAGTGTGTTCGGTCAGATTCATCTCGTGATTTCCTCCACCTACGCTCTAGTCGTCTCCCAACCTGCTTCATCGCCCTCAATTCAGGAGTATACCAAGGGGAAGAGCGGGCTCTGCCCGGTGGGAGAGGACGCTTAGGAGCGATCGTGTCTACAGCCCTGGTCATCTCCCCATTCCACAGTTCGACCAGAGCCTCGACAGGAGCACCCGTCTTGTCAGCCGGAAACTCCCCCAGGGCCTTCAGGAATCCTTCTGGATCCATCCGGCTCCGGGGGCGGACCCACATAATCGGGTCCGCACCCTTACAGAGGGAGAAGTCGCTCTCGAGCATAAATCTCACCAGGAAGTGATCTGACCATGACAGGGGAGTCAAGCATGAATTACTCACCCTCAGACCACCCTCTTCCTGCCCCGTCGAGAAAACCAGGTCCAGAGTGTGTCCCCGTTCATGGGTGGGGCCGGTGACATGTTGAGACAGCCCCATGGCCGTCATGGAGGCCATGAAGTCCTGAGCCGCCCCGGTCAGACTAGCCTCGGCATGGAGATTGAAGTCCCCCAGGACCAACATCCTGGGGGTCCTCAACACCAGGTCCGAGACAGTCTCCGTCAGCTCAGGCAGGGAGACTGTTGGGCAGAAGGGTGCGCGGTACACCAACAGAATCCCCAGTCTGTCTCGGTCGCCCAACACCAAATAGAGACACTCCAGCCCTGGTCTCGAAGGGACCGGAAGTCCCGTGAGGGAGATGGAGGCTCGGTATACCAAAGCGACCCCCCCTCCCCTCCCCTCCAGCCGTGAGCAGTGCTGGACCAGATACCCGGGCGGGCACACTTGGGAGAGGGCAACATCCCCCCCCTCTCCCGCCCAGGTCTCCGTTATGCAGACCAGGTCGGCCCCCTCATCCACAATCAGGTCCTGGATGAGGGCAGATTTGTTATTGACCGACCTGGCATTAAGCAACAGCACCGTCAGGCTGGAGGGGCGACTGACGAGACTCCCTGGCACCCTCTGGCTGGGAGCAAAACCAGAAGTAGGGACAGGTGTCAGCCATCTGTCCCTCCTTCTTCTATGCGGACACGTTAAGCTCCCAACGCTGTTACGTCCCCTGCCCATAACCACCTCAATGGCGGCACCCGTGCGCTCCCCAGGAAACATAAGCGGCAGCATGGCCAGGGACGACTCCATAAAAAGATTTAAAATACTACTAAAAACACACACACACACACACACACACACACACACTCTCACCCCTCACTCACAGCCCAGCAGGAGGGCCTACCATTGCCAAGCGCAAGCCCCTGGCCAGCCCCGCCCCCTGCTCGGCCACCCGAACGGCGGCAACTGTCCTTTGGCCGACGCCCTTTGTAGCCGCTGGCCCTGCGTCCCCCGCCTCATCCGAAGCACGCCTGCCACACGTGCTGGGGCGTGGCGGAGCAGCCAAGTGGGCGGTGGATGGCGGCGCGGTCTTACGCGGCCAGGCAGCGGCTCCCCTCCGGCGCGGCGCGGTCTTACACAGCGAGGAGGCGGCCCTCCTCCGGCGTAGGCTGCCGGGCGCAGTAGGTGTTGCTATTCATATACAGTACTTGATGCTGACAAATCAGGACAGGACAAGGCAACCATTTCCTACCAGTAATGTTACGCCTTAGTTTTGCTCCCCCCACAGACAAAGAATTGTTTGCATGTTTATGTTGTAGTAGTAAAAATTTTCTCTTGAAAAAATGTTCATAAACCATCCAAACTGGTGGGACATGTGCAATGTCCTCCTGACCCCATCCTACCACCAGAGGGAAACATTCAAGTCAAAGTTATAGTATTTGAAGTTTGATAGAACAAAGGAAGCTTTCTACTTCCTTCCTTCTGTAAAGGAGCTAACCAAGGGCAAGAAACTGAGCTCAGAAGAAGTATATCCCAAATTCGTTTTTTCCACCACAGTGTTGTTTCAGTGGAGAGGTAAACTCTGCTGCTGAAAAAATCTGGCGACAGGAGCAGGATGGTTTCTTCCACCTACACTTGCTCTACACAAAGAGGACACCTTTTCACTGGTGAAAAGCTCTGAGTTGGTGATACTAATTATAGTCCCAAATTCCTTCATTGATAAAGGAATTCCTTCATTTGCAACACACACACACACACACACACACACACACACACACACACACAGAATAGTTTTCATGAGATTTGTAGCAGTAGTTTTCCCTTTGCAAAAAGCTTCATTTTGCATCACACAGTCCACATCTTCTGGAAAAGTTAAACCAGATGAAGCCTAGATAGAGTAGGACTGGTTCCTTGAAAATAAAATAGAATAAAATGCAGAAGAAGGGAATCATGTAGAACTGTTATAATAATTAATGATGATTTCTGATAGAGTATTCTGTATCTACTGTGGGCCAGAGTGATGAGTAGGGAGAACAAGAATCACTTATGCACTCATTGAAATACATTTGCATCTGAAATTACCCTGATCAATGTCATGCCACCATATTTCTTTTCCATTTTTCTTAATATGTTACCCTTTAACAAGAGACAGCAGCTCAAACTGGTCCTGCAATGAATGTATTAATTACAGGACCAGTATAATATATTCATATTAATTAACTATTAATTAATATGAATATATTATACACATGAGTAGAGAAGTGTAGTGGTTAAAGCATTGGGCTTGGATTTGGGAGAACTATTTCTGGTGCCCACTTGACATAAAGCTGAGTGAGTAACTTTGGTCGATCACTGACGCTCAGCCTGTCCCACCTCACAGAGTTTTTGTGAGGATAAAAGCAAGAAGAGCATCATGTACAGTGCCTTGGGCTCTTTGAAGGCACAAACAAAAAAGTGGTGATATAGAAAATTTGAGAAAGCATTGCAAAACCTCAGGCAGGAAGTTTTTGGCAAGCTTTGTAACTAATGATATAAATTTGCTCCAGGTATATGGTGCATAGCATCCACTTAGGTCTTTGAGTGAGGATGGCAATAGGAAGTTCTCATTGCATCTTTGAAAAGTCTGGCAGAGTGTCTTTTTGTGGCCGATTTGGGGAATCTGCTTCAAGCAAATCCAGTGCCCAAATATATGGGAACCTAAAGCAGAGGAAAAAACGGCTTCCACTTTCCATTTGGTACTTCTCAGTGACACTCACTGGGATACATTCCACCCAGGAAAGCATTACAAGGTCCCAGATTATGTACAGGTGCATTGATCTGGCCCTTTCCCTGTGGATAGTGTTCCTGGCTCCAGCTTCTTAGTAGCAAGCTTGATCCAACTACACTGCAAGTTCTCTAGAACATAATATAGTAGACTCCTCTGAAGAAATTGGGATATCCATTAATCAGAGGAAGTTTAGCTGTAGTTCTAGGAAGATTTTTATGAGAACAAATTAACAACTTGTGAAGGCCATTTCCTTTCAATTCAATGTATCAGACCTGTCACAATCATTTTCATGGGACTAGGGACATTCTTTCTGTTTCCCTTATGACCGTAATGTTTTTTACCTTTGTTTCTAATTGATCATCAGCTTCTATTTTCTATCCCCCAAACTAGTTTACATCAATTGGAGGAGTTGGTTACTGTTAAGGCAGGAAAATGAGCTATAGAAAGCCATCAAATACATAGAAGTGTAGCATGGTTTTGAAATGGAGTGCACACAATCCCTCTTTCTATAAGTGCTGTGTAGCCAAACCTACTTTGCAGATCCAATCTCTCATTTATTTATTCATTTTTTTCACACAGGCACTCAAAATGGCTTATAATAAAAAATGAAACTGAATGCCAATTAGACTCCTCTGCTGTAGATTGATAGCTGAAAAATCATTCTTTTGCTGGTGCTCTGTCTTCTCCCTTTGCTACCAGCTTCACTTGATTTCCTTCGAATGCCTCCAGGGACTTATATTCCAGTTTTGCCATTTTCATCTATCTCATGGTTTATTTGGAATCTGAAAGGCTATGCAAAGTTCCACTCTGATACAGAACAGACAATTGTAGTGAATGGCTGAAATAGCGCATTTTTACATGCTCTTCTAATAGAGGATGCTTGAAAACAGTGGCTTGAAACAGCAGACCACAGGCTGGTTCTTAAGATGGAGTTCTAGTGTCCAGTTATGACAGAGGCATAATCATGAGAGCTGTTGAAATTTCTGACAGTGACTTCAGTCACTGAGACAAGTCAGTTAATATGAATGATTTTCTGGCTGGGCAGAAAAGGATACAAAGTTAAGGCAGCCATTCAAGTCCTAGCAAACAAGTAGGCAGGGCAAAGTTGATAACACTCTAACTGCCAAGCCTTGGTAATTGGTGTTCTGCTACAGGTGGTGGTGGCACTGAGGAGGCAGGGCAATTGTTGAAGCCCCTGGTACCTGAGGTGACAATATATTTTCTAGTCATCTTATTATTCCTGCAGGAACAAGCTGAGAGACAACCTTCTAACAAACAACATGTTAAGTGCAGAAGAAAACTGTGTCCCACTATTTTGTTTCGGTTTTCACACAGATTAGATTGCCCTCGATTGTCATGATGAGGAGTTACATCTCATGATGAGGAGTTACATACCGATGAGACATCTGTATGCCTAGAGTCTGTAAGCCTAGTAAATACAATAATAGGCCAGTGGTGATAATATTACCCTTGGAGGAGGAAATGCAAAAAGAGTTTACTATAAATTTTGTAGCATTTGCTAAGCTTGCTAAATGGAAAAGTGTTTTCCACTGACCAATGAGTCAGTGTATGACTGAATAATATCCATGACTTGAATAATATCAATGGAAAAAAACCCCAACAACTCTCATAACATCACATCACATGTGGGATGGAGTTACAGTTTCTTTTCTCTCAAGGTCAAATGCAGAATTGGTCTTTTGAAATGTTGTTCTCAGTTGCTGTGTTGTTGAAAACTGATTTGCCTGGGATATTTCAACAATACCTTGTTGTTATTTCCCTCTTTTCTGCAACCTCTTAAGGAGCTTCTACACAGAATTCCAATTCAGTGGAGCCCGAAAAGCAGGTTGACAGCACTGTGAAAATGGCAGGAGTTATAGCTGGTCTTCTGATGTTTGTAATTATCCTTCTGGGAGCAATGCTTACAATCAAGAGAAGGTAAGTTTCAACAATCTCTAATTTTCTATGATTTGGCGGTGTTTAGGTGTCTTCTGCCAAAAAGATAGCACTTTATTGGAGCATATTTTATGTATATTGAGGTAGTTTAGGCCTGCTGGTTTGTTTAATGACATTAATATAGTCATCCCAAGAATTGAGGGCTCATTCTTCATACATTTGCTAGGACCCATGGGAACCACATATTATGTTTTTATGAGTGTTTGCTTCCAGTGGTTGTAGTACACAATCACACGAATCTTTCTCATCCCCACTGGTACCTTTCCTTCTGGTTTGATGGGTGTGTGAAGGATATAGAACATTCTGTATTCTCATTAGTGATGTACAATTGCATAAATATATTAAGAGACAATTGGAAGTCCTGAGTTCTAGACTCTGTTCTGTCACTGGTCATATCAATATTGCACTGTTAACATGATCCTTTTTTCACCTCCCAAAAAACGTGTGTGACTTGTAGTTCTGAGAGTTTGTGGGGCAGGGTAGTGCTCTCTAGCAGAATTTTCAGTACCTCATGGAACTACAAATTTAAGCTTTCTGTTCTGGAAGTCTTGAGTGTTAAAGTGGCATTCTAACAATGAAAGGAATATAGTCTGTAGTTTAGACAGGGCAACATTGTACTACCTGAGCAAGTCATTTCACTCAAGAAGGTCTTGAGGAAGGTAGTTATCATGCACTTCCACTCCCTCAGATGATCAGTTGTTATATGTATGTACATAAAAATGTTATCAAACTGAATTTCTGCTATTTTCATCCTGGAATAGTCAATTATGAAGGCATCTTGTGCAACCTCTATTTTCAAAATGAATGTGTGCGTGCGTGTATCCAAAGAAGCACAAAATGTGTAGTTTGTCTGTCTGTGCATGGTGTTTCCCATTGATTCCAGTTCTGCAAGCTGTGAAATGTCTGGGATGCTTCCACAAACTTCCTTTCTATTCTTTTTTGAAGGAGCGGTGCAGTAGATCCAAGGTGATTATTAACCTTCTAAGTGTGGCTTGACCATGCATGCCCACTGACAGCCATTTCCTCTCGACCATCCATTCAGATGGACAAAGTTATTAAAAATTTGCCCAGGGAAGAAGGGTTGTCTGAGGATTTGTTTCAATTCATATATGACCACCACTTTATGAAGTCGTTGCTGGCATGTATTGGAAACAAAGTTTTTGAAGCAGTCCATTTTTCTTTGCATCTGTGTATGCTTTCTATGTGAACCACTGGCTCTCACACGTTGAACCAGCATGGCATGTCAGCTGAGTTTCCTCGCTCCCATTTTATGACCACCATGCCTACCACATACTGTGAAGTAGTGATTCGGATAAGCTGGCAATGCCTAGCAACAAGGAAAGCATTTTTCTTTTTATTTTCCACAAAGTCATTCTTTGATATCCTACTCATATTTCGAGGCATAATTTTAAAGGAAGGCCATAGTCTAACTGTAGTACTACAAAGGTCGTATGAGTTTGCTCATAAAATACCTTAGTTTTCCATCTTTAGGTGCACCAAATGAATTCAATTCAGTTATAAATTAGCTGCTTGACAACTATTGAAGCTATATTTGTATTGTAACTAGAGATTATCCAGCATAAATCCTGTCCTGGGAGAGACATTATTGTCTCAAAAAAACCATTTCTAGATCTTGTTCAGTATGCCTCTTCCCATTTTCTCTAATTCCATTTTTTTTAAAGTTTTATTTAGGAAAATTGCAAAAGAAATGACTCCACCCACAAGCACACATAAAATAAATGGCAATTGCTAAAGCTGGCCTCACTTCCCATATGTTTTGGTGAATTGGGGAGGCTTAGGAACAGTTTAGATAATATCTACAAATGACACTTTGTGCATACAGAATAGGACATCTTTTTCTATCCTGCATGCATTTTCTTGTAATTCCATCTAAAAATTAACTTAGTACAAAATGCCCTAAGTAATCTTAAACTTTTTTTTTGCATTTCATTGCAGTCTTTCTGATCCAAAGTGAGAGGGGGAAATACTCTCTTCTACTGTGAATGAGAAGTTAAACTATATTTCTGGGCATTTACTTTATTTTCTTTATTTCACTTTTTCTAATTATCCTGAAACACTATTAATTGAATAGTGAAACAAACATAGTATATGTCTTATTTAAAGGGATTGTTATGCACAAAACTGCATATTACCATGTATTTGTCAGGTTACCATATTCTGGAAATTTGATTACATCTTGCTTACTGTATTGTCTGAAATTGGCCTCAGTGACCAGCAAATCAGTGACTAGCAATGTCTGTGAGATGGGAAATCAAGGAAGTGTGTAGCTTGAGGGTGCTCCTGGACTTCAAATAAATTAACAGTTTGTATATGAAACCTATAGAATGCAAATTTTGAAGAACACAATATTTGTGTTTTAAATTAATTTTATTGCAGATATGACAAATATACTAGTTAGTAAGAATACAACACTAATTAATATTACAACAAACATAGTAAACATGTACCTCACAGGGTTGCTGTTGTGAGGATAAAATTGAGAAAATTATGTAAGCTGCCTTGAGGAAGGCAGGATATACAGTAAATGTAATAAATCAAATAAGATAATAAAATCTTATTAGATAAATATTTTCTTATACATTTAATGAGGTACTTAGTGCAAAGGTAAGTTTTCATATTGAATAGTTATTAGTATAACTTAGAATATTTGACTTCTACAGAAGTATCAATTGTAGATGTCTTCCATAACTTTTAAAGATATTCACTAGCATTATTCTGATTACACAATGGAGAAGCCCAGCTTCCACACAGTCACAGTATTAGATCATGGTCTTTAAATGAATCTAGGTTCCATTTATTTCCATGGGAATTATTTCCCTAGACTTAGACTCCTTAGACTCTTGTTATCAGTTGTTGTTAGTTGCTGGTACGACCCATCATGACCCCATGGACAACATTCTTCCAGACTCTCCTGTCCTCCACCATCCCTCGGAGTCTACCGAAGCTCACACTCACTGCCCCAGTGACTCCATCTAGCCATCTCATCCTCTGCTTGTTATTAGTGCTGGGATTAAAATACCTTAAATTTTTAAGCGTTTCTTAGCCCTTCTGGCAATGCATGAAACCTTGTCATTTTATTTCCACTTAGTTTCCAACTAGTGGACTCTGCTATCCACAGCAACTATGCTGAAGCTTTTTTGGTCAAAGTATACATAGTGTTATTTACAGGGTTTGACCTGGCATGCATTAAATAAATAAATAAATCCAAAATTGTGTGTGCATGCATGAAACTTGCATTATCCTATAGTTCTATTTTGGCTCTAGTACCAGCCACTGCAGATTTTCAGACAAAAAACTTTTCCATTATCTACAACCAGATACCTTCAGTCTCTAAGGGTTAAACCTGGGGTTTACTGGGTGTAAAGCATTTTATATACTACCATATATGTCCCTTCCTTTTTAATTAAAACCATACTTCTGTTTGTAACTATGTAAGATATTAAGAATTTAACTTTTGTGTGCAACTATCAAATCAACTTGCATGTCACTGTCCAGAATACTTTTTGGCTGTCTAAACATGCACTGGATTTTGTTTCTAATTTGTAAATGATTGACAATTTTCATTGGGAGGAACATAACTTAGAAAACTCAAAGTGAGCCTCAGAAACTTGATGCTGTGTCTAGCCTCATTATTGTAATCCAAACACATTTTGGGGAATCTAAGAAAATTAAGAAAACAGTGTTAGGGCTTTTCAACCAAGATTAGCAGAAATGATCTAATATGGTTCAGTTAGTTTCAGGCAGTATGCAATAGAAATAAATCTAAGTAAGAATGTAGGTGTTTTTCTTTCCTAAATCTGCTGGTGTCCTGAAGTTGATGCTGTTGTCCTTAGCTGATCGAGTGGTGCAGAAGATGAATGATAAATTGGATAGAAATAGAAAGGATTGCTTTATTGGAAGAAGTGTTTACCAAGGCTCTCTCATCTTCAAATGATTGCAGTTTAGAAGCTATCTAAATATATTGATGGGCAGGAGCAATTTGTGTAATGAATGGATTAAATATTTTAAAATAACAACTCTTAAATGAATTTTAAAATTGTCATTTTTCATACAAAAGCAAGCATATACAGCTTAACTATTTTGAATTCCACCCTCCATAAAAGGATTCATCTCCCAGCCTACAAAACAGCCGGCACAAGATTCTCTTGTCTTTCAAGGCAATGAGGCAGAAAAGTAGCAATTTAATTAGATGAACTTGAGGCACTACCTTCAGACATCAGAGTGACATCTGCTTGTGGCCCTGGGCATTATAGCTGATCAGTCATAGACACAATTCATTTAATTTTCCTGAATGTAGCATTTTGCTAACCAAATGGGGAAATGATCTCAGTGAGGAGCTGTATAAAGAGAAAAATGTTTCAAGGAAAAGGAGTCATGTTGCCAGATGTAAACATGACTGAAATTTGGGGTGACTGATGAGCCAGAAGATTCCATCTGATTGACATACATTTATACATTCAATATGAGATGCTCCTTGGAAACTTAATTACCTTCGGAAATTTAAGAGATTTCTTGTGGAAATTATCATCTCAGCACTACTGGAAGACCTGCAGTATTAAGGAGTTTGTCGAGTCTATGAGCTTCCGTTGAATTCACTTGTGCAGGTTTGAGTTAGAACAGAGTCTGTGAAGTTTGGCACTACATCAAAAAGAGTGTTTAAAACCATGATGGCTTTCAAGTCTAAGGGCAGGAAGAAGCGCTCTTTCTTATACCTAACAGCTCTTGAAACCTTTAGGGATCTGACAATTGCTGCTCCAGGCAAATAGGTATTGCACTGGATCATAAGAGCATGGCGGGCCGTCATGGCTTAATTAAACCACAGTGAGTTGCAGTGCATGCCAGCAGCCATTTTTAATATTCAGACTGTGGAGGTGTTTGCTGTGGCTTAGTGAGTAATATGAATGCAGCAAGGGTGCCTCTGAATGGGCTGCAAGGATTGTTTAACCTAAGAAACCACCTTCCCCAAGTCTATGCAATGCATGAACATATGCTGCCCCCACCATGGCTTGGAGATGGTGTGAACTTCATCAGTGATTTATGGGCAGGTGGCCCTGGTTGCAGGCTTTGTGAGCTTTGGCTTCCCGGAGCTGAAAAATGTGAGTAGTGGGTGGAGGCAGAGGAGAGAAGGAGGGAAGAAAAATCTCTTCCAATAAAGTGCCTATTGTTTGTAAACAATGGAGAAATGTCATCATCACAAAGAGACTGGTAATAGATGTAGAGCTACTAAAATAAGCTAAAGCTGCAATCCTAAGCTGGGAGCTGTAGGCTTTTTTTCTATCTAAACTTGTACAAGACTGTTCCCTAAATTATTTACACTACCTTTAAAAAAATGTATGACATTCCAGTCCTTCTCACCTGACTCAAATGCTGCCTGCTCAGTTACACTTACATTTTACAAAAATTTGGTCGGGAAAGGTGGACTTTAGATCATTTTCTCCATTGGCAAGGTTGGTTCTAGACACTACTGGCCAAATGTTAACCTAGAATCTTCTGAGCTTAAAACCTTCCATAGATAGATAGATTATAGATTACTGATGACTTCCATGGAATGTGTGAATTAACCTTAGTCCTTTTTATGCAATATGGTATGAATAGTGAATGTGTGGCAAAGAGAAAGGAATCTGGCCTAATAACTTTATCTCCAACCTGCATGCATTCCATTCACCTCACCTCATGTTTAAGAAGAATGGAGATGTCCACCCTCTCTTTGCTTGCCTTCATAGCTCGTTGGGTGCCTACCACCACTTCTGCTGCCACCTTGTCTTTTCCCAGAAGATAAGCAGGAAGGTTGTAAGGTTCACTCAGTAGACTTACAGACTGTCCTTTTCCTGTAGGAGCCCTGGGATTTATACTTCAAACCTAGATCCCATCAGGAATAGGTCCTTAGTTCAGTACATCTATCTTAGTCTCCCTAGTCACTTTCTGCAAACCTAAGGTGCAATCCT